CAGTCATTATTTCCCGTCTGAGGCCAAGGAAAGAGAAGTTCAGAGACTGCATGTCTTGCCCAGAATTTCCCAAGGAAATCATGGCCGAGCCAGGCCCCAAATCCAGCCTTTGCCTCGAACCTCGCTGCCCACTGCCCAACCTTGTCCCTCCTCTCGTTAACTTTCTGGCCCAGGCTGCAGCACAGGGAGGTGGCCAGTCCTCACTCGCTCCCTGAGCGTGAAGTGGAAAGCGAAACCCTAACCCCTTTAAGGTTTTATCTGAAAGCCCCTCTAATCCATCAGCGGTCAGTTAGATAACCGCTTAAGTCTCCCCACTGCAAAGGATTACTTTCGAGGCCGATCTGGAGCCACACATTACCGGAGGCGTGGGATGGTGGTGGGGCACGCCAGGGCACCTTCTCTGGGACGGTGCCTGCATTTCCAGCCAGAGACTGCTGTTCACCCTCAGATTGGGGAGCCTAGAGCCTGTCCTTCCATTAAGTGGCTCCTCAGCCAAGGTCATTTAAAAGACATCTTGATCCTGAAAAGCTCCTCATTCATTCAATAAATATTTATTAAGCACCTACTACGTGGAAGCTGTGTGCAAGATAGTATCAAATGCCTTTGAGTGAACTAGTTACATCTCTTCCCCATTTCTATTATAATCAGAGCAGAGCAACATCGGGGGGGGGGGGCAGGAATCAGCCACAGCAGAAAGCTCCTCTTGGCTCTAATGTGGTCTTGGCCCCTGATCCATGCACCTGGCATGAGGAATTAGAGAAACATCCGATGAGGGCCGTGGTTCTCCAAACCCCAGGCCTTGGATTACAGGGATTATGGCTCTAAAGTCGAGGTATGGGAGTTGGGGGGTGCCTGGAGTCCTTCAAGCGAAGGTAAGCATTTGGAAGTCTTCAGACTTCCCTTGGTCTGGGATCGGTGCTAGAGCAGTTTATAAAGGAAGGGATAGTGTCTGATGAAGCAGACCCTCTCCTACCTTGTTGTATTTCTAGGTCTGTTTCTACCTGACTCAGCTGTGACTTTTACCCCCCAGGGCAGTTTAGATACACATCAGGAGCAATTTGGTGTGCACCATTGACCCAATCAGCAGAAAGGGAGACCTGTCCCCTCCCCCGACCCTGCTCCCGGAGCACCAATGAATAATGTCTGACAACTGCAGCTAGACCTGCTCTCACCTCTTCCTTGAATGTTTGCTGGGGATACCCGCCTCCCTTAAAGTGCTCTCGGTCTTGGGTCCTGCTTGGGCCACACAGCCAAGGCTCTGGATCATTAAAAAGTAATAAAGGAATATGTGCCTCCCCCACTCCCAACCCCGCTTGTCGGAACTGGTAGAATCATATCAAATTCAGGTCAGGAATTGAAGTAGAAATAGTATTTTTGGAATAAGGACTTTCTAAATAGCTGGGCTATGTGCTGCCGTCACCGCAGTCATTGAGAAAAGAGAATCACTGTCTGCAGGGGTGGCTGGGAAATGTCACTCGTTCAGCAGTAAGAGGCTAGGAAAGGTGACCCCCACTGGCTTCTTTCTGAAGGCGCTCTGAAACCAGCGTGGACTAAGAGCTGCCATTCCAGCCCTGCCCTAGCCAGGTTTATCACCTTGGAGCCATCAGCTGACCTCTCTGGGTCCCAGCCTCTGACTTGCCATTGCTGTGAAGACTGGACAATTGGTATTTGCTTGCCCTGTACCCATTCTGCCTGTTCTGGTAACGACTCCCCGATTCTTCCTGGGGGTAACCACTCCTCTGCCACGGTTAACCACACGATTCAGGAGGAGCTTGAGTCTAACCCTGGTTTCAGAAAACATAGAATCCAGGGCCTGCCAATCACAGCATTGTCCAGCCCTTTCATCTTACTAATTGGTTCAGAGATGGTCACGTGACCTGAGGAGTGCCAATCAGGGTTCAGCCTAGACTTGTGTGGGAAGCTCTTCCTTCACTGATGCTGCCCAGGGAAATAGGGGATGACTTTGGAGCTGTGCTGGTGACTTTACCATCCTCGGCTTCGCAGAGAACGGAGTCAACAGAAGAAAGCAGCCCAAGAGTTGGGAGTCCTGACATCATTATTTTGAGCCCCCCAGATCCTGCTGTATCCAAAGCTATCACTGGCTTCCCAGTTATGGGAGATAATAAATCCCCCTTTCTGCTTCCGCCAAGTTGAGTTGTCATTGTTACCAAAGGGGCCCTTGTCTGTCCCCTGGTCCCTTTCATCCTGCCTGAGTTCTGTTTATCCTGAAAGCATCAGTTTAAATGTTGAGTTGTCCTGCCCCATTTCTCCTAGCTCCTTTCTTTCCACAATTTGACACAGACACATATTATTCTAACATGCTCTATCATTTGCTTGTAAGGACATACCGTTTACTGCTTGCACTCCATCTCTCTTCCCACCAAAATGTGAACTCCGTAGTTTTTCTTAGTTCCCAGCCCTGATGTGACCAAGAACCTAGAAAAGTGTCAACGCGGGACAGGTCCTCAATAAATACTTGTTTGAATGCTAACATTTAGCAAGGAAAGGCATTAGGGGACTTGCACAAGGGCCAGCTTGGTGTGAAGTCTGGTTTTAAACTCTCCATGCCCCCCCCTTCCACCTCCCACTGGTGGTAATGGTTTGGGCTAAAATACTATAGTGAACAGTGGCTTCCATTGTCAAGTGCCCACCACGTGCCAGGCAGTGGGGTAAGTGCTGGGCACATGCAGAAGACAGACACACACAGTTTCTTCTCTCAACGGGGGTCTGCTCAAGAGAAAGGGGGTGAACACACACAAAATCACATGCCGTTGGAGCTAGTGTGATGTTTGCAATACAGAGCTAGGACTTTTAGTCTAGCAAAGGCCACAGGGGTCAGAGACTCATCCCTGGAAGGGGTGCCTTCTGAGCTGTGTGCTTCCTAAGCTGGAAGGAGGACTTGGCAGGGATGGGTATACATTGAGCAGGGAGAGGAGATGGGGAGAAATGAAGGACACTCAGACTACACCAAAGGCTGGGGCAGGAAAATGTGATCTGATTCCCTCCTTCCCTTGTCTGGCTGTCCTGCAGCCAGCTCCATTAGTCCCTTACCTAGTCTCTGCTTCCCAACCACATTCTCCCTTACAAGGCTAAGTAGTTGGGAGTCTTTTGCCCTTGTGTTTTAAGGCATAAAAGACTCAACCTCCTTTGGCCACCTGCTCCCACATCATCATCATTCTGGAAATATCCATAGACTGTTGTCTGTTAAACCAGTCTTTGTTTCTGTGAAAAGCCAGCCCTGGCTCTCCACACCACCATCATCATTGGATGCCTGGAAAGGGGACATCTTCCATTCCAAATTCCTCCTGACTGAGTGCTCCCTGGAGCACCCATCACTCCTTCTCTTCTGGGACATCCCTGGGTAACTCTTCCAGGAGAGGAAGGCTAGCTCAGGGCTGGATGAAAGCCAAAGGCTCCCCTTTCTTGGCCTGAAGTTCCATCTGCGGCACCCTATGTGCCAAGTTTCCATACTCAGATGCAAATGTGCTGGCACGTGTGTAGTCTGCTCTTACTGGTGGAAAAGTCTTTCAACAGTCCTAGGGACACATTGCCTTCTTTCCTGCCAAAAAAAGCAGAGACAAAGATTCATTTCCACTGTGACTAAATAACCCATATGTTTCTCCAGAAGCGGAAATTGTTAGAATGAATGCAGACCTTTCTACCAGCACAGCTTCCAAAGATATCTTTTAGCCTCAGGCAAAGTCCTGACAGTGAGATGTTAGTCAAAGCTCTGTCTGCAGTGTGGGCCCCACCTATACTCAGGCTGGCCTGAGGGTTGATGGAGGATGGACCATCACAGAACACCAAGTGCTCATTTCTGCTGCAGGGGGTCCCTGTTGCTCAAACCTGGCCTCGGGGCCCATGACCCCAGCACCACACCAGAATGAGCCTCAAGTCTGAGGGTCCATGTTTGATTTTATCAAAGCTCTTAAGGCCATCTTAACAGCATTAAGAGCCTTTGCCTTGGCCAGGGACAAGCCAGATTCAAGCCCTGGGGCATCTAATTACCAACTGCACGACCACAGGCAAGTTACTTAGCTCCTGTAAGCTGGTAAAAATGGGAATAGCCATAGTACTTAGCTCAGGGCATAGATTAAATGAGATAGTGTGGGCTGATCACTGTGGACAGAGTGGGCACAAAGTGAAGACTCAGTAAATGACAAGCCTGAGCCTCATCCCTGGTCCCTGGCAACAAGCCACCCCAATAACTGGACCAAGGAGTCCACCTCCCCCATAGCCAAACCCAAATGAGGTGCCAGTCCCTCTAAGGGTGGGACAGACAGCAATGTCAGGAAGGGGAGCTCCCTGCAGACAGGCACCCCGCCTCTCACCCTACTGTCCTTGCTGACCCCTTCTTGGTGACCTTCAGCACACCAAGACTGGTTGACAGAGACAAAACAAAAACCCCAACAATAAAGGTAACATTAGGCCTGTGGAGTCAAAAAATTCAGACCAGAAAATCCCCATTGCAACTTTTTGACTCCATTCTCCAGTGGAGGGGGAGGGGTGGGTTCCGGTCCCCAGACCCAGCAGCAGAGACCCCTAGCACAGTCCTCAACCCTTCAGAAACCCTTGGTACATGTGAGTAAGAATAAGTAAATCAACTTCCCAACTTAAGGCTGGGTGGAAATGGGTGGGGGGGTGTCTTCTCTGGGCTCCCGTTCAGGACACCTTCCTCCAAGCACCTCCTTTAGCCCCAAGGGTGGCAGGTGGGGTACCAATGGAAGGCTGAGACTGAGGAAGCGTGCTGGGGGGGTGTCTCCAGGGGGAACGGACCCTCCTCCCAGGCTCAGGCCTGGGCCGCACGGCTGCTGGGGCCCAGGGCTCAGGTTTGGGTGTCCCCGCCCCCTCGCAGGGCAGGCTCCGCCCCTCCTCGCGGGAAGGCGGGAAGGCGGGCACTTCGCCGTGCCCACCCCGTGGGCAGAGCGGCAGGGTGGCAGGAAGCCGCCACCAGCCCAGCCTTGAGCCTCACCTGCACCCGGGCCCGGTGTGGATGGAGGATGCGGGGCCTGGAGGGGCTGGGCCGCCTCCGACCCCATGGCGCCCTGGGGCAGCGGCTGGGCAGCCTCGCCGTCTTCACCCGAGACGACTTCGAGGGCATCTGGCGACGACTTCGAGGGCACCTGGCGCCGTGCGGCCCGCGGCGGCTTCGGCCCGCGCTCCAGGTGCAGCGAGTCCGCCGTCAAGCCCCCACCCGTGCCCTCAGCCGGAGGCCGCCAGGTACCTGCCTGCGCTGCCCAGCTCGGTCCGGAGGGCACAGCCGGAGCTCCCCTGGGAGGGGTGCGGGGCTTGACCCCGGCACGGCCCTGGCAGCTTGTGTCCCCGCCTGAAGCGCGGTTAGGCCCCCCGTTCCCCTCTGTGGAACGCACAGAGGGCCGGGGAGGGGGACGAGAACGACCCTCCAGAAACAATTCGGCCCATCTGACCGCCCAGACTGGCCGGGCCCCCTTCCTCCTGGGTGTCAGGGTGGGCATGACTGCCCTTGATGGCCCTCTGCGTGGATCCGCCCCAGGTTCTCCGCCAGGCCCGGCTGGGCTCGCCCAGAGTCTGAGGCGCTTGGCCCAGCGACGCTCAGTGACCTGTGGAGAAGCATGCACTCCCTCTCTGTCCTGTGGCCGTGGGCTTGGCCCCGGCCCAGCCAGTGCAAGCCAGGGGAGGCGTGGGGACCGGAGACTGCCCAGTCTGCCGGCCTGAGAACCTGCCCAGTCTGTGTGCCGGAGCTCAGCTAGGTCCTGCTGGCAAGTCAAGCTGGGGATGCGTGGCTCTGTCCTTGCTTTTGTTTCCAGCAACCCCCCGCCCCCTCCACCAGGTGCAGTGTGGCCCACCCTGGGCGTGCCTCCTTTCTCTCATGGCTGCCTCTTCCTCGCTGCGTGCACCTGTCTCTGCCTTCCCACTGACATGGGCTCCAGTCTCCTTCCCATCCGATTTGCTTGGAGTGGCCGTGTGCTTCCCCCCTCAAGCAACCCTGAAGGAGACACTTAGGACGTGAAGTCTCTGTGAGAGAATTGCATCGTTCTCCCAAGACTCCCAGGCCATCAATCAAAGGGCCTGGTGAGGGGCATCTCCTATTGGCACCCGCTGTGGATGTCGTGTTCTCTTCGGTCACCATGCAAGTCCCCAAGACAGAGCCTCAGGTCCCACACACTCAAGACAGCCCCTCCTCTAATTCCTGGGCCCTCCAGCTGCTTCGTGAATTCGAGCAAAACGAGACAGCCCACAACTTGACCCTCTTCCTCCTTCAACACGCTCATGCTGGCTTTGGGGTACAGTCAGGTTTTTCTAGGGTTTGTCCACATCACTCAGACTTTGAAGTGAAGGACGAAAGGACACAGATGGCATTGACGAGACTGTATTGTTGGGCACTGACAACGACTTTCCCGTCCCAAGTTCTGGGAACCCTCTGGGGGAACGGGACAAGGGATTTAATGATGATGGATGTCTGCTGAGTGGGAGTGACTACACTGGCAGCTTTAAGCATGTTCACTGGACTCTCTATACCTCTTCCTTCATTCCTTCAGTGGATGAATGCTTTGTGTCGCCTGCTGTGCTGGACTCTGAGATATAAAGAGTACAAACAGATACAGCCCTGTTCTCCTGGAGCTGGCAGCCTGGGGGGCAGAGACACTCATCAGGTAACTCCATGTGGAGATGTCAAATGTGCTGCTGTGAGAAGAGCAACAAAGGAGATTGATGGTTCTGTGAGAGCTTATTCATAGAGTTTGACCAGGATCAGAAAAGGCTTCCCCAAGATTACAGCTGAATGGAAGAGTGAAGGATGAGTGTGAGTAAAGTCGTTGAAGTGGAGAAAGCTTTCCAGGAAGAGGCAGCAGAAAGTGCAAAGGGCCTGTGGCAGGAGGGATATAGTAAGTGAAAGGGTAGGAAGAGGCTGTTGAGGCTGGAGTTGAGAGAGAGGGAACAGTGGAAAGCCACTGGAGAGTTTGCAACCACGTTAGGGGTGTGTGACAAAAAGGAGTTAATCAAATTTGCAGGATGGAAGACGGATTGGAAGGGTTGAGTGGCTGCTGGCCCACAATTAAGGGTTGTCATTATTCAGGGAAGAGATGACCGCCATCCAGCTTCTACGTAGTGATAGAGGGAAAAGAATGGATTATGCAGTATTTAGGACATAAACATTCACTTGACTTGGTGCTGGGTTGTCTGGGGGGTATGATGAAGAAGAGGAGTGTCAAGGTTAACATGAAGGTTGGCTTGCCCAGAGGAACAAAGGCTCATACAATGTCTGTTCCATGAGAGCTGACCCCATGCCCATTCACCGCTCTATCCCCAGAGCCCAGCATGTAGTTGGTGTCTGTTGAATGATGTTGTGGACAGTTAATAAAGGGAACATGAAAGGATGTGCAGGTTGGGAGGAGAAATTCTAGAGCTCGGTTTCGTACAGGTTGAGTGTAAGGTGCCTTTTAAACAGCCGAAAAGAATTGTCAAATAGATTTCAGGTGAAGGTCTGAGCTAACAATATGAAAATTTGTGAGTCATTTGTTCTAAGTCCTAATTACGGCTAGGGCAGGGATGACACGCATTCACTGTAGGCACAAACTAAGTGAAACAAAGTCCCAGCTTCGTGAAGTTTTATAGTTTAAGGAAGGAAGGAAGGAATCTAGAGGAAGACAGGAAATAAGTAAATAATACAGAAATAAATCATTTTTATCTATAACACTGACAGCCTCCTGACATGTTCTTGATGAAAATACCTAAAGAAAGTTGAACAATCTGATCTTCCAAGAAAACAGTTGATCTGGAAATATTAACTTGTGTGTCCAGGACCATGACAGATAGTGAGGTGGTAAGAGACAGTGCCGAGTGAGAAGGCAAGGGCTGGCCCAGGACTGGCTGATCTACCGAGACCTGAAAACTTTCCTAGGCTGTAGCCCTGGGGCAGAGGGTCTTTGCACGCCTTAGCAACAGCTGCTCAGAGAAACATCGAGACCAGACACCCCATGACGGGGGCTGGTGGGAAGGGATGAGAAGCAGACACAGGACATGGGGGCAAGGAGTCTGGGTGTCTGGGGCAAGCAACTGGTATTCCCATTTTACAGTGAAGAAACTGAGGCCCAGAGAGTTTACTGGCCCGGGGTCATGCAGAGCATAAGTGGTCAAACTGGGGTTTGAAGTCAGGGCAGATCCCTGGCTTTTCCCCTCCATGACAGGTGTCTCAGTTCCTGGGAACTGGAAAGGACAAGAGGAGACAGATAGGAAGGTCCGCAGAGGTAGAGGCGAGAGCAAGGGGAACCTGGGACGACCCTGTCCAGAGGCGAGGGACAGCAGGTGCTTTCTCTGGAGGTCAGCAGTCTCTGGCTGGCTTCCCGGGGCGCCCCACACGCGCATTCCCGGCAGCCTCCGACTGCAGGGCCCACGCAGCAGCTTTGCAAATGCTGTGCTTTTATAAAAATGTCATTTCTCCTTAATCCCCATCCCCGCAATCCCCAATCTCAACAATTTGCATATCTACTGGTCAGTTAGCACAAACAGTCAACCTAACGAGAGTCTGCAAACGCTTATGCTGTAAGGCCTTCCCTTAAGTCTTGACTTCTGTTCCATTCAACAAAGATGTATTGTGCCGTGCACGCAATGGGCTGTGGTGGGAAGCCAGAGGGATGATCGAGGTCTATCCATAAAACGGAGTACGTGCAACCATTGCAGACCTTGCTTCGGGAGAATGGCCATGCGAGCAAGCCCCGTGCCACTCACACTGGAAGAGCAGATCGCAAAGCAGCCCACACGGTGCGATGGCCAGGCAGAGGGGGAGGGGAGGAAGGGGCGCAATGGAGAGGGATCCCTTGCACATGTATGTATAAAAGAAGATACTAAAATATGAGCAGAGGCCAGCTCTGGAAGGTTGGATTGCTGATGGTTTAATTTTCTTCTATATAGCTCCCTGTACGCCCTTGATTTTCTACAAGGATCTATATTACTTTCATAATCCAAACGGCAATAGGCGAGCCTTTAAAACACAAGCATGGGGTGTGATGTTGGTCCTCCGGGGGCTTGTGATCTCCTGGGGGAGGCAAACATGGACAAGTGGCAGAATAAATGGGGGGGGGGGCTTTTCGTGGCCGCCTCTGTGGAATGGACTTTGTCCAGAGCCAGCAGACTCCTTCCCTTCCTATCCTGTCGCTTCTGGCCATCCAGGCCCCACTGTGGGCATTTTGCTGGGCCTCCTTCTAGGACTCTCCTTCCTCCTGCACTGCCTTGCCGGCCCCCGAGGCTTCTCGGGGTCTCCAGAGCCTGGCATGAAGCCTCGTTTGTTGCTCTGCTAACCGCTGTTGTAATGAACCGGTCATCTCCTTCCCCCACCAGTGCCCCGCCTCCCCACAGCTGCCATGTGGAGCTTCTCATTGAAGAAGCAGCCAAAATGGAGAAGATCAAATTTCCGCACTCCTGTCCATCTGTGGGTGTGCGGGGAGCCCCTGGGCATGGTGATGGAGTTCATGGCCAGCGGCTCCCTGGAGAAGATGGTGCCCACACACAGCCTCTCCCAGCAGCTCAAGTTCCACATTGCCCCGGAGACCAGCCTGACCCTGAACCTTCTCCATAGCATCAAGCCACCCCCTCTCTTCCGGGACCTCAAGCCAGGCAACCTCCTCCTGGATAGCAATATGCAAGGTAAAGGCCCGGTTGACCTCCCTGCGCCTTTTCCACGCCAGACTCTCTGCGGGTGAGCCAGCCTGCCTGGCCTGCTGAGAGTTTAAAGTAGCTCCCTTCATGGACAAGTACTGAAGGTGAAGGGATGAGCAGTGGAGTCTGATGCTTGAATCTGGGTATCAGGATGCCTGCAATGACTCCCCCTGGACCTCAGGCTTCTGTTCCTACTGTGGGTAGAATATTCCCCATCCCTCCCCTTGCTTGCTTTGGGTGGGGATGTGTGTAAATGAGCTGATTCCCAAGAAAAGTTATGATGGCCTTCAGTTCCTAAAATGTGCCACCTTCTTTTGCCCCAGGACTTTTGCACATTCCAGCCCTAGTGCCAGGAACAGTGTTCCCTTACTGCTTTCTTTATCTAGCAAGTCATGCTCATCTTTCAGTGCTCTGCTTAACACTATCCTCTTGGGGAGGTTTCCCCTGGTCTACCCCAACAGCCCCCTGTTGTATATCCTCATAGTACCTCTGACTCTTCAGACTGCTAACCACACTCGTTAAGTTTACAGTCATTTGTGACACTATTTCATTAGTGACTATACCCCCTATTTGAGTAAGCACTTGGGAGAGTAATGAGGGTTGGGGTCTCATCTTTCTTAATCTGCTGCCTGATTCTCAGCGCCCAGCCTAGCTAACCTGTGAATGAGTCCGTGGATAGAAGCAAAGTGGGGGACAAACACACATGGTGTATTCAGGGCCCTTGGAAGTGGATGAACAGAAGCTCATCAAAGACGGCGACTTTATCCACAGCCCCTCTGGCTAATGGCAACACCTCTTAAGTACTTACTGTACTCTGTTCTAGATGCTTTTTGCTTATCCCCCATTTCATGCTTATAATAGCACTATGGGCTAAGTGTTCCTGTTATTTCCAGTTTATAGATGAGGAAGGTGAGGGTCCGAGGAGATCATTAACATGTCTGAGATCATGCCAAGGTCACATGTGGCAGAGCTGGGAGAGTCCCTGGCCCTTAACCACTCCACTGTCCTGGAAAAGGGAGGCTGCGGGACAGGGAGGGATCAAGGCAGGTTTCTGGAGGCAAGACTCTTGCTCCCTTACCCCTGCTGGTGGCTTCCTCCCAGATTTCGGACTTTGGCCTGTCCAAGTGGATGGAACAGTCCATCCAGATGCAGTACATGGAGAGGTCAGCGCTGTGGGGCACCGTCAGCTACAGACCCCCTGAGATGTCCTTGGAAGGTAACAAGGCCCTAGGACCCAAGTACGATGTGTACAGGTGAGAGCGGACTGGGCTCCATGCCACATTCCCAGGGTTGGGGGAGCTGGTTATCACCACCGGCCTGACACCTCCTGGTCCCAAGGGCATGACGGGACAGGGAGGAGGAAGGACGCAGGGGCACTCTGGCTGGAGCGGCTTTGCCCAGGAGGGTGTGACCCGTGGGGCCTCCCAGGTGGGGTGACCATGGGTATCTGAGAAGGTGACTCAGGAGCCCTCTGTCCTGTCTGCAGCTTTGGAATCGTCATCTGGGAACTCCTCACTCAGAAGAAACCGTATTCAGGCAGGAGATGGTGGGACAGCCATGGGTGGGGTCCTGGAAGGCACTGAGAGAGGCTAAGGGCTTGCAGGGGTGGGATAAGTGGTGGCTTTGGGTTGGGGAGCAGCATATGCTTTAAGGATTCCCATCACCCCCTCCTTCTTCCCTTCCCTGCTGGAATCTCAGTCTGTAACCTAGCTGTTTATTCATGGTGCATTTATGTTGCCCCTGCTGTGTACACCCCTGTGGGGATCCCCAGAGCCGCCCACCACCCTGCCCAGCCTGCTGCTCTGGCCCTGGCACCCTGCACGCGCACAGCCTGCGCCTCCCCTTCAGCATGGTGACCGTTGTCATCCCTCCCTGCGGCCTGTCTCAGACGAGTGGCCAGGTGAGGCCCAGAAGATAGTAAACTGAGGAGATGCTGTGGGATTGGGACCCCAAGAAGAGGCTCTGCTTCCCAGGTTCTTGTCTGGCCTGACCTGTCGTAGGAACTCGGGAGCTGGCTGGGGCTGGAGTGCATGGGAGCAAGGGCTGAGGTTCAAGGGGGCAGGAGAGGTGGTGGCTGAAACCTGGGCCACTCCTGAGGGCTCCATGTGGCCCTGGGGCACAGTCCGCATCTTGGTGCTGGAGGAGGGCAACGGGGGAGGGGGCAGCTGAGGGCTGTAGCCCATCTCTCTGGGTCACTGTGCACCCTCTTGGGAGGTCAAGGGAAAGACCCAAACCGGCAGGGTCTGGGCCCGGCTCTCCTGCTTGAGTCCTCCGGTTAGCCGGGCTCTGTCCAGGGGCCACAGCACCCTCATTTGTGAAATGTTCCCAGACGGCGAGATCACTGGCATGGACGGACCCCTTTAGTGACTGTGAAGACACACACCTGTGTGGCTGTGAGCCCTCAGAGATCACCCACCTAGTCCTGTCCCCTCGTTTATGGGAAAGGACTGACCCTCAGAGGGCCAGGGACCTGCTAAATGTGGGCTTGCTGAGCCACAGCCGGGATCCAGCTCTCCCAGGGTGCATGTGTGGGTGGATGTGAGTCCAGGAATGGATTTTGGGGTCGGGGGGAACACAGGGACCGTTAGGGTGTCTAAAATGGGGAACAGACTGGTGGCCAGCCTGTTGTTTCCATCTCTGTCTTTCTCCTTCATGGAGCAGACATCACGGTCGAGACAGACATGCTGCTGTCCCTGTTCCAGGGTCCTATGGCAGACCCCGAGAGCGAGGCTCTGGCCAGGACAGTGCCCTGCCAGCTGTCTCCCCCAGCCTGGGGAGGTGCGTGTGTGTGTGGGGGGGAGGGCATCTCCCATAAGGGTAAGACCTCCGGGGTGGGGGAGGCGGGGGGACCGCATACATGATGCGTGGGCTTGTCCTTCTCAAGGTCCCCCTGGCTGAGGGAGCAGATGGGGACTGAGAGCCAGCCCAGCCCACACTGCTAGCCGTGCCAGGCAGCCCACTTGGGGACAGCCATTCCTAATTTGCACAGTGGTGGCTGTGGCTCAGAGTCCCTGAGAAGGACTCATCAGAGTCCTGCCTGCGGGCTTTCACACCGGCATCGGTGTCCCCAGCGTCCTCACTCCTTAACACCGGAACCAGCCGTGGGCTATCAGGGGCTCCTGGCCAAATCACGGGGCCAGCCACCCTGTACTCCACATGGTCCAAGGGGCAGTCAAGGCCCCAGACCACCTCTCTGGCAGTCTCTCCCCTGCTCAGGACTTTCCTGCAGACCCAGCTGTCATCGGGAATGGCACGGGAGGGGCTTCCTAGGACAGGTGCTGGAGAGAGGGGAGGAGTGGAGGAGGATAGAGACCAGAACTGCCTCACTGGTCTAATCTGCCCCCTTGTCTTCTGATTCCCTCTGCCCAGGTCAGTGTTGAGGCCAGCCAAGAGCTAACAGACAAGGGTGAGCCCACGAGCCACGGCTGGAACCGGAGAATTCCCAGGGAGGAGAAAGTGGACTCAAGCTGCACCCTTTCCACCTCTCCCCTGCCCACCACCCCTGACCCAACCCTCTGCCTTGCTTGTCCCAAATCAGAAGCTGGTATGTCCCTTTCCAGACACTGGCTCCAGGTTCCAGAAATGCACATGCCTTCAGGGGTCAGGCTCTGCTTCCCCTCCAGGCTTGTGTTTTCTAGGAGGCCTGACTCCTCTCCTGGCTTTCAGGTGGGGTGGGGTGGGGAGGGTCAAAGGCATTGGCTTGCAAGCCTGGCTGCGTTGTAGAATGACCTGGGGGGTGAAAGCTGCCCCATGCCTGGGCCACCTAGAGTGATTAAATCAGAATCTTGAGTGTGGGGTTGGGGGGTTGGGGGTGGGGCAGTAATTGGCCTGGGCAGGGATATTTGTTGTTGTTTGTTTGTTTGTTTTGGAAATTGTTGCTTTTGGTCCAGATACACCTTTGGGTAGAGCAGGAGGAAGCCTTAGCAGCCAAAGCTGCTAAGATCATAGAGCCTCTTTTCAGCTGGCATTGACTTTGTGCCAAGCACGCCCCTGAAAGCTCTTGGCTACCCAGGCTGTTCTTGCAATGGTGGCACGAAGTGGGCATTGTTGTTGGCCCCTTTGTGGATCAGGATCTGGAGGCTCACAGAGGGCAGGAATTGGCTAAGGTCCGGCGGTGCGAAGCGTGGGTTTGCTCCCAGGCCGCCTTCTGCCCCTTCTTCTGCCCCCTCCGCACGGACGGGCTGCCAGAGTCCGACCTCCAGGACATGGGAGGCTGTGCAGAGATCTGTGATAGCAGGAGAGACTGCCCCCCACCCTCAGAGTCTCTGTTCCTGGTTGGCACTTGCAGGAGGCAGGGGGCTGGACGAGATGACCTGCGGCCAGCCCAGAGGTCCTCCTTCCAACCCCACCTTCCCCCCAGCAGACTCCGGAGACTACTTGAAGCACGTCCTGGGACGAGGAGCTGCATGGCTGTGAGAACAAAGTCACTCCCCTCACTTTCTGGTGGTGCAGGGCACAGGTGAGGCTGCTGCTAGCTCACGAGGTCCACGTGGACGGCCAGAGCTCCTGCGGCTACACGCCCCTCCTCATCGCCGCGCAGGACCAGCAGCCCGACCTCTGCGCCCTGCTCCTGCAGCACGGGGCGGACGCCAAACTGGCAGAGGACAGCTGGGCCCCGCTGCCCTTTGTAGCCCAGAGCGGTTGTGACAGCCCCGCTCCCCCACCCCCTGGACCACAGGGACCATGTGGGTGCCCAGGAGCACGAGGGTGGACCCCGCCCCACCTGGCCACACAGAGCACCTCTGAGAATGTGGCACGGCTTCTGGCCTCCCGTCAAGCTGACCCCAACCTGCGTGAGGCCGAGGGCAGGACCCCTCTGCACGTGGCTGCTTACTTTGGCCACGCCAGCCTGGTCAAGCTGCCGACAGGCCAGGGGGCCGAGTTGGAGACCAGCAGAGAAACCTGAGCACGCCCCTGCCCCTGGCGGTGGAGCGAGGCGAAGTGAGGGCCATCGGGCACCTGCTGAGAAGTGGGGCAGCTCCTGATGCCCTCGACCGGAGCAGACAGCGGCCACCAGGGGTAAGTGCCTGGCCTGGGAGGTGCTGCTCAGGGACGGGGCCGGCTTCGAGCTACTGAGCCGGCAGGGCTGGAACCCCCTGCACCTCGCGGCCTACAAGGGCCCCTTGGAGGTTGTCCACCTGCTGGCAGAGAGCCAGGCGAACGTGGGAGCTCCCAGAGGCATGAAGGGGACATCTCTGCACCTAGCTGCCCGCCACGGGGAGGAGCTGGTGGCATTGGCGCTGCTGTGCTGTGACGCTGACCCCAGTGCGGCCAAGCCGGGGGCTGGACACCCCTCCACCTGGTCGTCCAGAGGGGCGTCTTCTTGAGCATCCTCAGCCTCCTGGAGCACCATGCAGAAGCCCATGCCCACAGCAAGGTGGGCTGACGCCCGCCCACCTGAAAGCCCTCAAGGGCACTTGGCCATCCCCAAAGGGCTGCTTGCGCTGGTGCCCAGCTGGGCATCCGGGACGGGGCGGGCTGTGCACCCCCACAGCTGGCCCTCCGGAGCCAAAAGCAGAGCACAATCGCCCTCCTGGAGGGCAAGGAGCCCTCCTCACTAGCCCTTCTGGGTGATGGTGAGCCAGGAGCCCAGACAGAAAGCCAGACAACGGGGGGCTTTCTTCCTTCCCTGGGAGGGAGAGGGGCTGGGGAAGTGATGCTGGGCTGCTGGCAGGGCCCCTTCCCTGTCCTTGACACCTGCCCCTTGGACTTTGAAAGGAAGCCAAAACACGGTCTCCCCCTGGAGGGAGGGGGAAACCGGTGCTGAGGTGGGAGCTGGGTGGGAGCCAGGGGCTCCCTCTTCCTCCTCCTATCCTGGGACCCAAGCCCTCTTCCTCCCCAAAACTCCTGCCACCTTCTGTCATTTGCCCCTGAGCTCACAGGGAACCACAGAGAAGAGGGACATACTCCCTCCCAGTTGGTCCCTATGTGACTTGGTCCCCATCTCAAGCCAGGCCTGGCCAGCCAGGCAAATGCTTTTCAAAAGGGGCAGGAGCTCACATTTGGGAGGAAATTTCTGCCTACTGTTGAAAGCCCCAGCCAGCCCCCTTTTGCCACAGAGACCACGCCTTCTGGTGGCCCTGGCTCCAGTGCCTGGGTCTCCCACGTGGTTTTGGCGGGGGAAGGAAGGCTATGCTCCAGCCGCCCACAAGTGGTCCTCCGTGGGGTGCTCCATCCCCCCTTCCCCACCCCTTCACTGTGTCTCGTTACACGGCCAAGTTTCCAACCCTGAGGTCAGTAACACGGTGGATCTGAGTCTTCCCTTTGGAGATGGGCCGACCACTGGGGCCAGTAGTGTTCCTGTGGGATGTGGTGTGTGTGCAAGTTCACGCAGCAGGAGGAGACAGGGGCAGCTGTGGGGAGGGAGGGGCTGAGGAGGGTGAGGGATGACTTCTTGGGGCTCGGTGTGGAGCTCCAGGACAGGGATGTCCCTCCAGACAGCTGTAGCTCTGGGCGCTCTCCCCTGGGGCCACTCCCTGGCCCCCCGGCTGCCAGCCTGGCCGTCCTCCAGGCTGTGGGGCAGGCTGGGGCAGGGCTGGGCTGCTCACACTAACCAGCTTCTGCTTCCGCCCTGGCTTTGCCGGGATGGCTGACCTCGGGTCAGGGTGGGAGGTTCCAGTGGGGGCACAATGGGTGCCCTAAAATCCCATCCCGCACCTCTCCACCTCTCTGCACTGCTGGAGCAGCCTCTCCGACTCTTTGATTGTCAGAGAAAAGGAACCTTCTGCCCCAGCTACTGTCCAGTTCCCACCCCCAGCCACGTGGTGGGCCCACCTCCACGTGTGGTCCTGCTGGGCTGGACTAGGGCCTCCTGTCCGCATGGGGTGAGAGGCAGAGCCGAGAATCTCCCTGGCTGAGCTGGAGAGCCGCCAGGCTGATGTCTCATATCTTCTCCCTGCTTCCTTCCTTGTACCTAGCACCACCATGACAGTAATCGCTGGCCAGCGGCCCCCGGGAGCCCGGGTTTTCCTCTCCTGCCTGGATGAGCGGGGACTCCTGAGGACCACTGCAGGTGACACTCAGCAGAATGTTCCATCCTCCTACTCCCTGCTGGCTGCCCAGTCCATTCTCCATGTTCTTCCTGGGACTGGGCTTCAGGCAAGACTCGTAGCTGAAAGTCCCCCTGGGAGTTCTGTCTTCCCTAGAATGTGCTAGAGCAGGAAGGGGGAAGGGGAGAGGGCTCCATGCCATCCGTGATCCTTGCACGCTGGCTCCCAGTATAGGATTCTTCCGAACGAGCCAAAGGGCGGATGTGGGGCTATGTGTACAAAGCCGAGTGAGCTCAGATCAATCCATGGGGACAGCCAGGAGCGAGGCACTGGGGGACAGTGGTGTCCGGGCTATCCTCTTGGAAAGAATTTGAGGAAGGACCTTGCAGAAAGGAGCTAGGAAAGATAAACAATTCTTTTGCACCTGTTGTCCTATAAGGGGCAAGGATCCCATGGAATGGGGCCAGGACTACCCATGGGAATCATTTCAGCTCACTAACCTGATGATCCCAGGGTCCAGGCTGAGATTCCCAGACCGCTGCTTTCTCTACCCGCTTCTTCCAAGAGGTAGTGGAGGTCATGGCTTCAGGCCAGCTTTGGCCAACAGCCCTTGCATCACCTACCAGCACCTTTTTCTCCCTTTTCAAGCCAACCCGAGCCAGACAACAGACACACAGCATCTACCCTGAATCCCACTGCAACACAGCCGCCTTCTAGAGATTTCCAAGGGACGTTCAAAATTGGATTTCATTGAGGCCCTTGAAATTCCCAAGGAGAGAGTCTCCAGTTGAGTTTCAAACCCTGTTTAGGGGAATTTGGGGAGATTGAAAATAGGAACTCCCTCGTTTCCTTCTGGGCATCTCTACTTGGAGACCCTACAGGCCCCTTAAACTCAAAAGGTCCCAAACTGAACATTCCCTCCCCCTCCACAAGTGTGTCCATCACCCTCTCTCCCTCACTGTAGTTGAAATGTACCTGAACTGCTCACCCAGGAGTCATTCTAGACCAGTGTTGTCCAGCAGGGCGTCCTGGGAAGGTGGAAGCCTGCTCTGTCCGCGGCTGTTCTGGAGGATAGCCGCCGGCCCCATGTGTTACTGAGCACCTGACATGGCCAGCGTGGCTTAATAAGCTTAAGTAGCCACACGCACTGGTAGACCACACGGTCTCTAAGCTCCCTGACCTGTCCTCATCCCGTCAGCTCCCAGGCGCAGCGGGTCCAACAGGAAGGGCTTTCTGGAAGATGCGTGCATGGAAGGAGGACAAGGATACAGCAGGCGGCGGGCAGGGCCTGGACTAGATGGAGGGGCTGGGGCCAGGGACCCCAGAGGCCAGGGAATGTGGACAAGCAAGTAGGCTGGGGGTACAGGCAGCTGGAGAGCTGATGGCGCGGGGAGACCCTGATGCCCATCCTAGTTCCAGAGCTTGGACCTCGGACTCAATGGAAGGGGCAGTGGGGAACTGCTGTCACTTTGTGAGCAGAGTAAAATCCGAATGAACTGTGCGCTCCCAAGACGCTCCAGCTGGGCGTAGGGTGAGGAAGGGATGCTCTGGTGAGGGAAGACCCTACTCTCATGTGACCACACAGTGTCTGCGGCTGGGGCCACTCGGGAAAACCGCATGCGCCTGCCCTAACTCTGTGCCAAGTCCTCTGCCCCTCCCCCCCAAACGGTAGCACCCCCTCCCCTGGCACCAGGGAGCCCACCTCCCTCTCTCTGGCCTCTTGCCCATACCCAGGTCTCAGGAAGGAGTCAGGGGCCACAGCATGGGCTCAGAGCTGCCAGGCCTCCAACCAGAAGGAAAAGGCCTCTCCAGATGCCTTCTCCATCGGGCTTCTCCCCAGCAGCGCTCACCCTGCTGCCTTTGCCAGGTCGCAGAGCTCGGATGGCACAGAGGGACCAGGTACCCTCTTGTCACTGCGCCACCAGGCCCCCCAAAGCCAGGGTGGAAGCCGTCCCTTCCAGAGATGCTCTGGTCTCTTGCCTGCCGCCGCCCCCACCCGGCTTCTCCAGAAGCAGAGTGAGGGGCGTCTGGTTGGCAGGAGGGTACGCCCAGACTCTGATCTGCCACTAAAACCCCTCTAGAAATGACTCCCCTCTCTGCACACCTGTCTCCCCCTCATTTGCTCTGCAGCCCAAATGGCTGTCAGGCTATTCACAGGTACTTGAGGGACCCAAAAGTCTGGTCCCAGATGCTTTCTCTTTCTCTGTCTCCCCACCTCGGTAGACATGCGCTCACCACACTAGCCTCCTCCAGCCGTGCTCAGAGCTGGTCAGGAGACAGAGTGGACAGTGCAAGATGGAGATTTGGAACCCTGGGCTCAGGGGCCAGCCTGCCATCCAGGCAGTCGGCCTCCCTGTGAGAGAAGCTTCTTCTGTAACAGGGGACCCTGTGGACGGATGCCGGGGGTACGCAGAGGGCAGTATCATGGGGGCAAGGCATAGGATGGGAGCTAATGGCCACAGATGCAGCTTGTGTCCTGGGGCCTGGGAGGGCGATGAGGTAGGGGGACACAAGGCTGGGTCACGCAGTCTGTGGGACAGGGATGGGGTGGCAAGGGATCCCAGACAGGTGGACACACTGCTCCCCAAGGCAGACCAGTCCTCAGTGACCCTCCTTGCAGATGACTGACCGTCCATGTTCTGAGACCCCTGGGGAAGTAGGATAGGCAGTCACTTCTTTCAGGGGCCTCCTGCCCCACCATTCAGGCTGTCCTCTGTGCCATCAGCCTCTTGCCCTCACCAATTCCAGACCAAGGCGTGCCACGTCATTGTCGTCACCTACATGACCAGTGTTCCCACCTCCAGCCAGGGCTCTGCTGTGGAGAATGTGCGGTTTGTGCGGCTGTAGTGAGGTTGTTGGATTAGCCCCCTCCAGGCCGGGAGCTCTGCAAATACCGCGGTCACGTCCCCCGTTCCTGTTTCACTCCTAGCACCTTGCTCAGGGCCTGGAGCACAAAGGTTGCCCCAGAAATTGCCACCGAGGACCCCAGCGGTGGGTGGAGGGAGGAAATGCAGTGTCCCCTGCATCACCCGCCTGCCCAGTGCCCAGGACGTCTCCCTGGCTGGTGGCCTGCGGGGACTCCTCCAGAAGGCACTAGGAGAAGAGTAAGGGCCTGAAGCTTTGAAGACTTGCAGTCACTCAGCGACATGCGCGAGGACATGTGCCAAGTGCCAGCTGTGCCTGACCCCGCGCTGGGGGACGGTGGGGAGGGAGATGGCTGTGAGACACCACAGGCTATAAAGGCAGATCATTTACCAATTAAAAGTCATTCTTGGGAGAAAGATGGGCTTCGGGGCAGAAGCACGGGGAAGGCGGGGAGCAAAACAGGGCCCCCGTCAGGTGGCCTCGTGGGAGAGAGCAGAGCCTGGGCTGCCCCCTCCCACCGCAGAATTCCTGGGGGCCCCCACCTATCCCTCTGCCCCTGAAGAGTTGAGGGGGGAGGGGGTGGAGCCGGCCCTCCCCCTGCCCCCTCTAGCTGTCACTCTGCTGTCTGGCAGAAAGCCTGGAGGCTTCGTGACAGCTGTGGGCAACCTTCCCCTGCCCCGCCTCCCGCCCCTGCCTGCCCTCTTCCCCTCTCCTCCCCTCAGCACCTTCCCAAAGTCAGCGCCCTTCCCAAACTGCTCCAGGCCTGCCTCCCCTCCCTCTCTGCCTGCCTGTCTGCCTGCCATCAGCCCTCCCTCTCTTTCCTTCCTCTATCCTTCCTCTCTCCCTCCCTCCCTTCTTCCTTTCCTTCCCTCCCTCCTTCCTTCTTCCCTCCATCTTTCCTTCCTTCCCTCCCTCCTTCCTCCATTCTTCCATCTTCTCTCTCCTCTCTTAGTATGTCTTCCAATCCCGCAGCTGAGAAACCAGTGTGACCTCATAAGATTTCCAATGATGAGATGAGCGTTTAAGCTTCCGTCCAAGGCAAGATCTTCCATAGGCTGAGTGTGTGGCGTGTGTGTGCATACCTGGGTGTGTGTTGGCTATGGGGTGGGCATTGGCAGCCGAGAAGTCCTTGGGGTTTCTCGCCCCCCCAAGGGTTTGCTGCCTTCCGCAGGAGGCAGTCACGGGGTTGTACGGAAGCCTCCTGAGCTCGACCAGGGGCCTGTCTTGCCCAGCCTCCAGGATCTGGGTGCTCCTGGGGACAGGGGCCTCTCCTGGGGCTTAGCACTACGTGCAGGTTCAGGGAGAAGATCAAAGTCCATAATTAAGTGTTCAGGGCAAGTGAAGTGCTCCAAACTTTGGTGCTAAAAATATTGTATTTAGCATGCAAATTATGCCCTGACAGCTCCCCAGAGCCTGAGCCCGTGGGTGCCGGCACCTTGTTTGTCATCAGCGCTCTTACTCTCAAGGTACTGAGAACATTCCTCCTTCACCGGGTTGACTTATATTTCATTTTTTAAAGCCAAATTTCTGTTTTCAGGGCAGTGCCAGTTTGTGGCTCTGGAAAGCATGGCGATAGGACTGTGATGGAGGCCCAGGGAAGGGAGGACCCCGCCCCGGGCTATGTCGTGCAGGGCTTCCGTGCCCCCGCAGCCTACTCCAGAGGAAGGGGGTCCTGCTATGTGACCAAAGTCAGGGCAAGGGGCAGACACAGACACAGCCAGCACCCGGGAGTCTGCCTTTCCTGCGGAGCCTTCACTGCGCTGGTGGGTCACAGAGGCTAAGGAGAAAAGGAGGAGGTGGGACGCAGGGACCACCTGTTTTCCCTACCACGGGGATCAGGGGAGCCCTGGGTATGCTGCAGGATTCCCACGGGGAACATTCTCCGCTCCCGTGTTGGTTGGCAGTTGAGGTTCGGGACCACCTGGGGGGCTGGGCCGAGGGCGTTCTTGTCTGCTCAGGAGGCGAGGACAGGGCGAGGGGGGGACGCAGGCACTCACATCTCCTTGGTCTGCCTCGGAGCAGCTCCTTTCTTCCTTTCCCCCAGTGTTCAGCCTGGTGGCCGTAGTCAGGGTCACCCTTTTCTGGAGGGGGCTGCAGAAGGCCTCCCCGACTCTGATCCCAGCCCAGACACGGGGGCTTCGGCTACACCTGCCGTGGAGGACGAAGGCAAGCGGGGGGCCTCGCGTGTGACTCTTGTCAGAGTTTTATTCGTTTGGAGCATGTGTAGTGATGTTACAGAGTCTGGGCCCAGGGGCTTCCCAAGCTGCAGCCTCCCCTCCTCCCCCAGGGCAGGGCCAGCCCAGGCCAAGTGGCACTCCGCAGTCCCCTTGCCACGGGCTTCCCTAAGGTGGAGATAGCGGAAGGGAAAGGCAACGGGAGAGAGAAGAGGCAAAGGGAAAGAGAGGCGGTTTGTGGCAGAGTGTGGCAGGAGGCAGCCCCCCAAAGACCCTCCAGCACCCCAGCCCAGGCCCAGATGTGGTCCCAAGCCCACCTTCCCTGCCTGCTTGCAGGCCAGCCCCAAAGTTGCTACGAGAAGGGATGAACCCAGTCTGTCAGGAGGTGGCAGAGTGGGCTTGGGGGAGGTCCCCCTCCCCACAGACGTTCCTGGGGGCCCTTCATGACCCGGGTTCCTGCCCTCAGCAGGTACAGAAACCATGTGGGTGCTGGAGCGGGCTGGGGCGGGGCGGGCCCCACTGCTGGGGGAACGGACGCTCCTGTGAGGCAGGACAGGGAGCGAGCGAAGATTTTTGGCTTGGGCTCCTCTGGGGTTCGCCCTGTGGTCTGGTATTTACATGGGGCTCCCAGGACTGCAGTTGCCTGGGGCCTTGGCAGGAGCTCTGGCTTCCGGGGCATGACCCTGTGGAGTGGGACCTGTCCATCCCTCCCCACGGCCCGCCCCAGCATCGGCCTGTGAAGACGGAGCCAGACCCAACAGAAAGCATGGTCTCTGAGCCGTGCCCCTGGCCCTGGCAACCCAGGACCCCAGAGAAAGGTCAGAGAAGGCGGCTGCATCTTTGGTGCCAAGGAGAGGGGGCCTCGAGGTGGGAGGGGGGCTCCGTGAGCCGCCCCCGAGCCAGGGGTCCAGCCCGCGGGCCGGCACAGTGCCTGGCTCCCGAGCACTACCCCGGCAGAGTGTGGGTGTGCGGGCACGGAGGGGCGTGGAGCCAAGCAAAGAGAAGGCCCAGTCCGCCCGCCCCCCCACCACCCTGCCCGCGGCTCCCTGGAAGTGCGAGCCGGCCGGCCAGGCGGAGAGGCGGGAAGCAGGCTGCCGTGCAGGTGGCCGCAGGTCAGCAGTGCAGGATCTTCATGAAGGCCTTGCGGAACTCGACGTTGAAGGTGGTGTAGATGATGGGGTTCACGGCGCTGTTGACGTAGCCCAGCCACGTGAAGGCGCTGTAGAGGACGGGCGGGATGCTGCAGTCACAGTGGATGTTCAGGATGTGGGTGATGAAGAAGGGCAGCCAGCAGATGATGAACACGCCTGGGGGAGAGCGCGGCGGTCAGGCTGGCCTCCAGGCCCGGGGGAGGTTGGGCAGGGCAGGCCTGCACTCCGTGGGCACCCAGATTGGGAGCCGCAGGCCCAGGGCCCAGGAGCACTGCAGGAGGAGTCCCGGTCTCAGGTTCTAGGGCTGTCACGGACACCCGTTGCCAGTGAAGGTAACTTTACTTCCCTCAGCCTTACCTTCCTCATCTGTCAAATGGGTATAATAAGACCTGCCCCACAGGGAAGGAGAATGGCTTGAAAACAAATCCACCAGGTTCACATTCAGACCCAAGTCAGTAGAAATGGAAATATCTACTCTACTTTCTGGTCATCTCTGAGGACAAGTCTTCTTCAGCAGTTGGAAGTGGAGCATTTGGTCATTGCTGTGGGGGACGAACAGTTTGAGCCCGAGGGACAAAAGGGAGAGTTAGATCTGCATATCGCTCAGGCTCCGCGTCCCTGGGGAGTAAAGACAGGGAGCTGAGGCTCCAGAGGCTCTGTGAGGTACACAAGGCCGCCTCACAAGTGACGAAGCTGAGACCTGAACTCCAGTCCGTTGAGGTCCCCCAACGGCCAGTTTCCCGCTGTGCCTTCCCCCAGCCCTTAGGGGACACCTCTTGCTACTTCCTGCTTGGGGACACTCTGACCCAGACTGAGCTCCCGCCTGTCGGCTTTGTCTGACTCTGGACCTGCTGCTCAGTGTGGCAGTACCGTGAGCACACCATGTCCCGCAGGCACCCAGCATGGCAGCGAGACCCCTCCAACTCCGACCTTCCTCTGTCACCCCCAGCCACGTGATCAAGAGTCCGTCCCTTAACCTGCTATGACCCTGTGCACACATTCACAAAAGCTGGGAGGTAACACCTGTCCCACTCGTGTCACAGGACTGTCGAGGTCCAAGGGGAAGGTGAGTGTGGAAAGGTGTCCCATGCTGCCCTGGGTGCCCCAGGGAAGGCTGAGTCACAGCAGCTCCTCCTGCCCCCAACCACCTACATCATTCCAGCCTTGTGTTTTGACTCTGATTTTCTAGGAGACCTTTATTCAAGAGCCTTGCCTGGCTGACAGCCACATCCTCATTCAGATGGGCCTCCCCCCTCACCCAGGTCCCCTTTCTTTGTTCACAGCTCTGGTCCCACAGGGTCTTGGGTGAGCTGAAATGAACTGAATTTCCCAATTCCTCAACAAGAACAACATTCCCAAAACCGTACTGCTAACCCCTAACCCGTGTGCCCTACTTTGCACTTTACAAAATGTTTCCACCTTTCACCACCATGTGACCATCACCACAACCCTGAGAGGTTATCTCTTGCTGAGGGGACTCCAGAGAGAGAATGGACGTGTCTAGGATCTGGAGGTTCTGGGGGTCACTATGGTAGACTGGTCAAGCTCACAGATTCTGAAGTCAGACTCCCTGAATTCAAATCATAGGTCTTCACTGGTCACATTATACACCTACTCCAAACCTCAGTTTCCCATCTGTAAAATGAGCATAATTTTA